GGCTTCCTCCTGCCCCTGCATCAGGCCTCATCCAGGTGTCCCCTGAGCCAGGAGCCCTCGCAGCAACCCCCCTTCTCAGCAAATGTCCCCGTCATCAGAGGGGCCTTTCTGACCACGTGCCCTGTGTCCGTGTCACTGTCTGCCATGACTTATGGGTCCCCCGCCTGTCCTGTGGAACCCAGCTTCCCCGGGGCTGACTCGGTTTCGTTCCCTGCTGTACCCCCAGCACCGAGCACGGCGTCCGTCAGGAGCACAGTTGCTGGTCTGTGAATACTGGTTGCATCAATATTCCCGCAACAGCTGCTGTGCGTCAGGCCGCTGCCTGCCCAGGGTGACACAGGTCAGCACCAATGGCCACAGATGTGGCCGCCACACCTCTCAGCCCCCACCCCCCGGTACCGCCCCCTTTTGTTTTCTATACTATCTAGGATTTCGTTCAGTCCTCCCCACGTGACTAATGCAGAGTCTGCAGATTCCTGTGTGATAAAAGTAAAACACAGCCCTCTCGGTGCCCCACAGAGGGTCTTGGGGACCAAAATGTCCAGGTTCTGTGGTCTTTCTCTGTATTTCCATGTTCTGGTGTCTTTATGTGGGCGTTCTCCTTTCTCCCCTCTTTTCCTTCTCCCTCTCTATTAGATCCTCTTTATCCCATCTGGTTACAAAAACCCTGATAGTGGTTGGGGAGCTCTGAGGTCCAGTCTTGGTTCTGCCCCCAGCTGGAAGTGTGACCTTGAACTTGGCCAGTGTCTTCATTTGGAAACCTGAGGAGCTCTAAGAGGCCATCAACAGCTAATTTTTAAAGCTTTTATTCCTTACTAACGTCCCCCTCTCTTCCCTCCACCACTTAAAAAAAATCGGGTTCTAGAACTTTCTGGGATCCTGTTCTGATTTTTGACAGGGGCTCCAAGCAGGTGGGCGTGTACTCACTGTGTGCCTGCATCACCTCTGAGACGTTGAGCCCCTCACGCATCCTCATGACACACACACCATAGTTGAAATCAAAAGCATCACTGGAAAGAGGAGAGGTGGGGTCAGGCTCCTCTCCTTCCCAGCCCCCGGCCCCCAGGAGACCAGATGTCTACAGTGGGCCCTGCCTCCCCACCGTACCCTTCTTTCTCTCAGGGCCTCAGTCTCCCCACCTGTGTAACATGCAGGTGGGGAGACTCTAGCTCTATGGTCCGTGGCCCTAAGGATGCTGCAGACCCTGTACTCAGGGGGAAACCAAGTCAGGCCAGTCTTCAAGACAGGCCCTGTCCTCCTGATACATTTGGATAATCTGCACAAGCCTGCCAACAGAGGTGAGCATGGGAATTCTTAACCCTATTTTACAGAGGCAAAACTTGAGTTTCAGGGAGTAACTTGCCCATGATCCATGCTAAGGAAATGGCCAGCTGGCTTTAGAATCGAAGAGCTGAGACGGAACCCTGAGGGTTGGCACACACAGGAACGGCCTTGCCCAAGATGGCAGCAACAGCTTGTCTGAGGGAACGTCAAGAAGACTCCCACCCAGAAGTATGTTCTCTGCCCAGTTGACAGAGGGCCCCAGAGACCACCAGTAGGGCTTGATCTGATGGGCTCAGCATTGCCCCCGTGGGCTCCTTTAGTTACACATCCCTGGGACAGGCACTTCTCAGGGCCCAGCATTTTGAGGTCTTGGAGCACTGGAGCTGGGGGCATGCTGGAGAACAGGTATTCCACTACCTGTTGTCATTGTCAGAGGTAGCTGAGATGCCCGGCTCAGAGTCAAGTGGCTGGGTCACAGCAGACCAGGAAGCAGGTCCCAGGTCCCCAACACTCAGCTTCCTTCCTTCCTTTTTTCTTTCTTTCTTTCTTTTCTTTCTTTCTTTCTTTCTTTCTTTCTTTCTTTCTTTCTTTCTTTCTTTCTTTCTCTTCCTTCCTTCTTCATTCTTTCTTTTTCTTTCTTTCTTTCTTTTCCTTCCTTCCTTCCTTCTTCCCTTTTTCTTTCTTTCTTTCTTTTCCTTCCTTCCTTCCTTCTTCCTTTTTTCTTTCTTTCTTTCTTTTTTTCTTTCTCTTCCTTCCTTCCTTCTTTCTTTCTTTCTATTTAATTAATTTTTAAAATACTTCTATTTTTATTTATTTATTTAGGTTGAGAGAGAAAGCATGCACAAGCAGAGTGGGAGGGGCAGAGGGAGAGAGAGAATCCCAAGCAGACTCCGCACTGAGCATGGAGCCTGATGTGGGGCTCGATCCCACAACCCTGAGATCACAACCTGAGCCGAAATCAAGAGTCGGATGCTCAACTGACAGAGCCTTCCAGGCCCCCCAGCCTTTGTTCTTTAAAGGCTACTACACAGTGCTTCTCTGTACCACGTCAACACAGAAAAGCAACTCAGGCAGGCATTTTCTGGAGGTTGCACGGGCGGAGCTGAAGGAGAAAGGGTTTGGACTTCGGCCTGAAGTCCCCAGGGAGTTTATCCTCGTGGCCGCATTCCCCACACTGCCGCCTCCTGGGAGGCCTGGTTTCGCTTCCCGCTCCGTGGCACCACCTCACAGCTCCAGAGCCGGCTCTCTGCAGATCTGCTAGAGTCCACAGGCGGGTACAAGGTTGTCACCTAAAAACCCACCTTTTCGGCTTCTCTGAGAAACCAGAAGCTCTGGCAACACTGGGTCCACATTTCTAGCTGGGCACAGCTGCTCACGGCAGCTTGCCACAGTCCCCTCTGCTCCCTATGGGTCTCCTTCTCTGTGTTCCCTGCATGTTCCTGGCCCATCTTGGCGCCCATGGCCCAGAGGTCAGAGCGGCGAGCCCTCAGTGGGTCTGTTTCTTCCTCAGCTTTGAACCAGCTTCTTATAATATCCACTGCATCCCCCCTGCTTCCCAAGGCCCAGGAAACTCCGAAGGCCCAAATCAACAGACCCCAGGCCCTGCCTCCCTCATGCCCTCACTCACTGCAGGATGCCAACGTAGCCTTCCACTGTGGCTGGGTGAGCAGACTGCCAGTTCTTCTTGAACCCAACCACCAGAATGTTGGGCTTCATTCTCCCGAGACCTGTGGCCTGCAAAGGGTGTGGGGCTGAGGTGAGAGGCTCTGTTCTGTGACTGGGGTGGGGCTCGCTCAGCCCCAGCTACCCTCTCCGCCACGTGGCGAGGGCTCAGGAATCACAATCCGCCAGTCAGGGTCCTGCCCGCCTACACACACCCAGGAGAGAGGGGAAGCTACAGCCAGAAGCTACCAGGACCGGACTGTCCCATTAGCTCTGGATTATCCCACTTCCTGCTTCTCTAGCAAATTATTTCTCATCCCAAGGGACTTGAATGTGGATGCCAAGCTGAGAGTATCCCCAGGCCATCTTACCCCTACATCGTTTATACTTTTTTTAGTGTTTAAAAATGTTAAAAATTTTTTTGAAGTGAAATTCCCATACACAAAATTAACCATTTTTAAAGCATATAATTCAGTAGAATTTAGTATAGTCACAATGTTATGCAACCATCACTTCTATCTACTTTCAAAATATTTTCATATCCCCCCCAAAGAAGACCCTGTATGTTCTTTTTTTTTAAAATGAGAAGTATTTAGAATTATTAGAAAGGACTCTGATATGCTGGCTCAGGATTAACAACTGTTATTGTATCTATGCATCCCATTTTACAAGCTGAGAAAACCCAGCAGGAAAATGAATTGCCCAGTGGAACATTCTAGAACTTGATCTGAGTGGTGGCTTCACACCCCTGGGTGTATCTGCATATGCAAATATGTATCAGACTATACACTTAATATTTTTCACTTTGCTGTCTGTAATTATATTAAAAAAAAGAAAAGAAAAAAGAAAAACAAGAATTGTTCAAGATCACACAGGCCCCATGGGCTCCCAGCTCAGTTTCCCATAGGCCCCTGGACACCGTGAGAAAGTGCCCTGAGTCAGCATATCTGGAGAGACAAGAGAGGCAGGCACTCCCGTTGCAGCAAAAGGAGTTTCAACTAGCCCCTCGGGACATCCCACCTTCCAGGTTGTCACACCAAGTATTAAGTCCTGTGGGGAAGCCCCGAACCCGTGGCACCTGCATGAGAATCTGAACACCACTGCGGAGGTCCTCAGCAATGACATCCGAGTAGAAGGCCTTGATCTTCCTCTTGTTCAACCACTTGGTGTGCCCATTGGTGATGAGCCGGAGCTCAGGCATCCTCTGTTTGCGAGGTCCCTGTGGGTGGTGGGGGCAGGTGACATCAGGAGCTGCCTTCACCCTCTGGCCCTAATGAGATTCAGCCCCTCTCCTCCCTGGAGGCTGCCCCAGGGGCTCAGCCACACCCTTTTTCCCCTATGGAGTTAGGGGAGGCCAAGAGGAGGAGGAGGGAGGGTGGAGGGCGGGGGAAGGAAGATGGAGGGAGCAGGCAAGAGGCGGGGCAGTGGGGAGAAGCCAGCGATGGGGACAGGGGAGGGGAGAGAACCAGGCCCACAGCAGGGTCTGGTGGGCTCTGCTTGCTCCATAGCCCCTCCACCCCCCACTCCTCCCCACACTCTCTGGCCGCCGTCCAAGGGTGGACTTCATGCCCAAGGGCTCCTCCAAGGGCATGGCCCTACCCCACCTATAGGGGCCACTCACGATGAGCACGTGGCCACAGACCATCAGGCTGAGGTTCCGGGTGAAGGTGCCCACAAAGTCAACCAGGGCCGGGCGGAAGTTGGGGGGCCCTGTAAGCACTAGGCACTGGGGGCTGAGGAGGGGAAGGGAAAAGGGCATGAGCCATCTGGACAGAGCCCACGGGGATCTGGGTACAAAACGCAGGTGCCGGGGAGAATAAAGGCTGGGGGTGGGGAGGCACATCACTTACAAGATCCCTGTGCCATGTGGGGGGGCGGGACTCAGCCTCTGGATGAAGAGGCAACCAAGGGCCATGGTGAGGGGCCACTGCCAGACTCAGCTGGAGCCAGACAAAATCAGTCACTCACCAGCTGTGTGACCTCGGGCCAGTTACTTAATGTCTCTGTGCGTCCATGTTCTCATCAGCGGCTGGGATTAGTAATTTCATATGCCCCAGAGGGCTGTGGTAAGTTGGCATAAGGCACTTTTGAGCAGCAATGCAGCGCGAATACATATGGCTGATGTTAGCATTACCGTCTGGTGGGACGGAGTCCCAGACACATGACTCTCCTCGCTTAGGAGAGGTTCATCACGGTCAGCCTCACAGATGACTGTGACAGGGACTACAACACCAGATCGTCCTTGGATAGCCCTTTGCATCTCGAAGAACATATTCTGCTGTAGAAACTCAGGTACAGAGAGGTCACTAGACTGGCTTGGTCCCCACTGAGCCATGTCAACCCAGGCCCCTCACCACAGAGCGGTGCTTCTCCACCTCTGTTCCCTCTCTGAGCCTGGGTGGTGCCCACCCCCGGTCTGTGGGGGCAGGTGACAGATGGTTTGGAGCCTCCCAGAGCAGGGACACGGCTGCGCTCACCGGTAATTCTTGATGTGGTCCTCTACCTCGTTGAGGCCCACCGAGTAGCTCAGGGCCAGGTTGTAGGAGCCGGCCTGTACCGAGGATCCCCAGTTCACCTCTGAGGGTGGGGGGTGAGCACAAGATTAGAAACCCCCGGGAGAAACCAGTCGTGCCGAGGGAGGGAATGTTGACCTTCTTTAGGAATCAGGCACCGTGGGAGCTGGGCTGCCTGGTGGGTGGACAGCCTGCAGATTTCTTCCTAATGTTTGCACACATCATACAGCTACATATTTAAAACTTACACTCCAAAGCATTAAACTCTAGGGACACCTGGGTGGCTCAGGTGGTTAAGCGTCTGCCATCGCTCAGGTCATGATCCCAGGGTCCTGGGATCGAGCCCCACATTGGGCTCCTTGCTCAGCGGGGAGCCTGCGTCTCCCTCTGCCTGGTGCTCCCCCTGCTTGTGCTCTCTCTCTCTCTGACAAATAAATAAAATCTTAAAAAAAAAACCCCAAAACCAAAGTATTAAACTCTACAAAATATTCACCTCTCTTGACCAACAGACAACGACCTAGAACACCAGGTTCAAATTTAGAATTCTAGGCTTTCCTGGAGTTCTGCATCTTGTCCCAAGATCACTGTCACCCCAGGATCCTTGCTTGCATGCTGTGTCCACCTGCCTTTTGGTCAGCCAGCCCCTCACCACCCCTCAGGCCTAGATGTGCACCCCAGCAGCCCAGCCACTTCAAGAGGATGGCCCTGGGCAGGCAATTCCAGGGTCCTGGGTGCCAGGGGTGGGAGGTCCAGAAGTAGAGGTGTGGGCTCTGAGTGGGCACGTCCCCATAGACTACTCACCCCACAGGGAGGGACGGGGCTGGAGGGTCAGAGCAGGGCCCTTGAGAGCACAGAGCTTGATGCAGGCCCTCTAGCTGAGCTGAAGGGCAAGATGGCTGGCTTGGTGCCCTCGGGGGGTGGGGGAAGGGGAGCCTGAGCCCCTGGGCAACCTGAGCCCGCACACCTGGCTTTTTGTAGATCACATAGAGCAGGAGGAAGAGGACGACGCCGATGGCAATGAGGGCCGCCCACCAGGTGAGAAGGAACATGATGACGACAGAGATGACCGCCCCAAACAGCGCCGCCCACTTGCTGTAGTACTGGAACGAGGGTCTCCACCCTGGGCGGAGGACGCAGGTCGGTGGGCATGTTCTGGAGCTTCCTCCTGGGCCAGGGCTGTGCCCTGAGGTCCCAGCCTGTGCCCACCTGCACCCCCCCCCCCCCCAACTCCGGCTCTCCTGGGGCTGGGCTGGAGGCTCTGGGGAGGACCACACGCCCGCCTTGGCTGGCATTTGGCCACATTGACAGGCTACACCAAGGACGAGGCATCCAAATATGGCCATACGTCAGCAACAGCACCAGCTCCCGTGTCTCTCGCGGAGCCAAGGGGGTGGCAGGCCGGGGAAGGCTGTGATTCTCCCTGGCTCCACACCCCCGGGCCACTGCAGAGCCACCAGGGACAGCCACCCCATGGCACAACTGTGGGGTGCCACGGTCCCCGGGCTAAGGAAAAGGTGGCCTGGCGACCAGCCCATTGGCGATTCGGGGATAATCAGAAAAAGGCTTTCTCGGGATACTTCACTGCCACCTGCCAGAAATTTTTTAGAATAAACATACAAATGGATGACGTATGTGAGCGGCACCCCGGGAGTTGTGCAAAGTGCAACCTGCAACAACCTGGGACTTTGGGCAATTCTCTTCCTTTTCTTGGGAGTCAGATTCCTGACTCCTGTAAATTTGGTGGAGGAAGGCACTAGAGAAATCTCTGCACCCTGTAAACAGTGTATGAATCCGTGTTCAGTGTACAGCGTAAGTGCTTGAGAAATGAGAGCTGCTATTATTATTATGACATGAATGGTCCCTTGAATTGGTTTCGATGTGACAAGTGACCTTGGTGTGCCCACCTACATCTGTGCCTTCCCCGCGCCCACCCCGGCCCCCGCCCCACATGCCTCCTCCCACAGAGGGGTGAGGGGGGGCTGCTTACCAGGCGAGTTGGTGATGGAGGCGTGGAAACAGCTGAAGTTGATGAGGGCATAGGAGCACAGAAAGAAGTTGGAGATGATGGGGGCAATGGTGTTGAGCTCAGCTTCGGGGGCCCGAGGGAGAGAGAGAACAGTCTGTTGGGCAACCTGTCAGGGAGCAGCCTGGTACCCTCCCTTGCAGTTGGGGGATTCCAGACAGGCCGCAGAGGCTCAGTGCGTCTCAACCTTCTCATCTGTGAAATGGGTCCATCATTTTGTGAAACAAAGGGCCGATGTTTTGTTTACTGTAAAAGGCCAGCTCTTAAGAGGATGCAGAGAAATGGGAGATCTTATGGGAGAACCAAGGACAGTGGCTGTCATACTTTTTTGTAGCCACAAATTACAGTAAGAAATATATTTTACAATGTGATCCAAGGCCCACGTCCTCTTCTATCTGAAACTCTGGGACCATAGGACACACACAGTTCCACCCACAGTGGAAACCCACTCAAGAACCGGGTCCTCCCTTCCCTGTCTCACTCGGCTGCTATTGCCCCTGGCACCGCCAGACAAACTTTTGCATGGGTATCCTTGTTTCAGGGGCCTGCTTCGAGGGGAACCCCAAAACAAGACAAGCACCTCTTATGTGTCGGGACTTCTGAGCATGATTCCCTTGAATCGCCACAAGAACCCTGCCCAGAGCATCCGAGATTACGGTTCTCAGCCTGAACTGCGGTCAGATCCACTCAGATCAAAGGACACAAAATCTGAGTTGGGGGTAGACTGCAGGACGAGCAGGAAGCAGGGATGTGTCTGGGGAACACTAGGCCTGACGAGGGGTTTCCATCCCCTGGGGGTGGCCCTGCTGCCTCTTCATCTGGTTCAGGATCCAGGAATACCCAGTGTCTGGCCAGGCTTCCTTGATGGAAGAGAGTAGACTGATAGGGTGAGTCTCATGATTGCTGATGCCAGCATGAACAGCAGGGATTCAGCTATGGCAGGACCACAGGACGACCAGCAGCCAGCCCCCGCCCCACTCCTGCATCGGGGGCCATAGCATGGCCACTGTCCTTGCTTGGTGTGGCCACCTTTCTCCCAGCAAGTTCTGCCTTGTTGGCTAAGTAAATCAGGAAGTACTGGGGAGTGTGTGCATGAAATGCAATGCATGTGCATGCGTGTGTGTGTACGTACACAGAAGTCTCTGCCTGCCCACCTGTGACGCACCTGCTATGCGCTATTGCTCCCATTCTGCAGATGAAGAAACTGAGGCTCGGGAAGGTAAAATGATTTGTCCAAGGTAGCACAGCTGGAATATGGCAAAGCCAGGGTAGAAAGCCAATCTAACTAACTGGTTAACTGGGATCTTTCTCCTGGGGCATCCTCTACCACGAAGTCCGAGGGGTCTGGCAGCTCAAGGTCTGAGAAACGAGGTTGTCTAGCTTATACACACTACAGAGATATTGATCCAGCTCTTTGTATCAGCTCCCAAGAGCTGTCCTGGGCTCCAGAGTTGTCCTGGGGACTAATTCAGACCTGGGGGCTGGTGGGGGTGAGGTGGGACGGCTCAGGCGGTAAGATCAGCTGAGAGTTCCAGCACTGCAACCCAGGAAAGAAAGCCCATGGAACTACCTCGGGGGCTGGTGGGGGTGGGGTGGGGGGGCCACTTGCCAGGACACAGGAATGCAGAATCAGCAAGAGCAGGTAGGGTCCCTTCTAACAAAATAGAATGGTCCACCTGGTGTGGTGTGACAGCCACCTGTCTGGAGCCGGGAGAGGGGCGGGGACCACATGACCAGCCTCACCCACTCAAGGGTTAGTCACTGAGTGCCCACACCCTGCTGGGCCTGGCTGGGCACTGGGCGCCAAGGTGAGCAGCACGGAGAGGAGCCCTCACAGGCCCCCGCACCCTGGCAGCCTCTCACCGATGATGATGAAGGCCACGGCGATGGCGTAGGCCAGCAGGTAGCCGCGGACCGGCTCCTTGTTCTTGCCGTAGCCCTTCCCGAAGAAGCCGATCAGCGGGTACAGTTGGTCCTCACACAGGCACTGTGGGCACAGGAAGATGTGCTCACCCCAGGCTGGGCCCCCCTCCCCTCCTCTGCCCGACAGCTCCCCTCCCCGCCCCAGGCCCTGCTTACTCCCTCCACCCCAGCAGGGCGCTTCCTCTAATCTACATCCTGGTTTCTGTCTCTTAAATGGGAGTCATCTCCATGCCCACCCACACCTCACCAGGGAGACAGCAAAAGGGCAAGATGAGAGGGGAGGCAACCGCGTCGGGGTGAAAAGGGGTCAGCGGACTTGCAGACAGGACGCCAGGCTGCGCAGGGGAGACTCTGGGGTGGGAAGTGCAGGTGCTCTTCAAAGCACACATGGGAGGGGGGCTGCTTCCTGCACGAGTTGGTCACTGGCCCCCTTTTGCCTTCAGTCTAGACTGTCCCTGTCCCGCGATACCCCCAGACCCTTGTAGCAGTCACCAGGGGACCCTTGCACCTGGGCCTCCTGGACCCTCCCGCCGCCTGTTCCGCAGCCTCACCTGGAAGACTTTGGCAGCAGAGACGAGGCAGGCCAGGGCGGAGGAGAGGGTGGCCCCAAAAATGCCAGCCGTGATCAGGGGCGCAAAGCCGGACACCATGCTCATGGTCTGCGGGGACACAGGGTCCAGGCCCCTCGTGGTGGAGCCCCTCATGCCCAGAGACCCCGCCCAGGGCACCCCAGTCCCCACTGCAGGCAGGGGCTAGGTCCTGAGGCCTCTGAGTCCACACCCCTTACCTGGGGATCCCAGGGGCCGCTGAGGCAGGGGCTGGGCCCCGGGGCCCCCACCTGAGCCTGAACCTCTTCCCCCCAAGCCTGGGGCCCAAGTGCGTCCCGGCCTGTTCCAGCTCCGGTCTGGGGTGGCCTTCCCGGCAGGCGCCGCACGCACCTGGTAGTAGTTGATGAGGCCATAGCGGCAGCTGCCCTGGCGGACGCACTCGGTGAAGTTCCAGCCGTAGCCGCAGGCCAGCCCCTCGCAGGCGCCCGAGCCGGGGGTCACCGTGTCATTCAGGGCCCCGGAGGCATCCCGAACCACGCAGGAGCCTGAAGAGGGAGCAGGGCTTGGGGAGGCCTCCCTCCCTCCCCTCCCTCCTCCCTCCTCTCCTCCCACCCCCAGACACGGTCACTCCTGCAGAGGGCGAGAAGCTGCTGCGAGGCCAGCTCCCTCTTCGGCATGTAGGCATAAGTAATAATAATAACAATAGTAACAGCAACACAGATGTGCCAGGCACAACTAAGGACGACAACCCCGGGAAGCAAGCCTCACCATTGCCTTTGTTGTCATTGTCATTCTACAGAGGCCCAGCAACGTGAAGTGGCTTGTTAAGGTCCCCCCCCCCCCCCCGTGTCCTCCTCAAAGCAGAGGCCAGACTGGCTGCGCCCTGGGCCGTGTCCCTTGGCCATCTGTGAACAGCCTGCCTCACAGGGTGGTTAATGGGAGCACCTGTGAGGACCTCCGTGAGAGGCAAGTGTCAACAGCCCAGGCCTGGGTTCAAAGCCTGGCTCCACCACTCAGTGGCTGTGTGACCTTGGGCAGGTCCCTTAACCTCTCTGAGCCCTGGTTTTCTCCTCTGTAAAATGGTGGGAAAGGCAGTGCCCGGATTAAATGTGATGAGGCACGTGAAGGGCTGGGCCTACGGTTGAGTCAAGGGCTAGTATCATCTTCAACCACCACCATCATCGTTATTGTTATTATTATTAGTCGTTGGGTCAGCGTACAATTTGTCCTCTAGCATTTTCCCACCCTTGCATCTGTAACTTCAGGTTTGAACGGACCAGAAGAGCCTGGTCTGACCACCCCCATCCCCACCACAAACTACCACCTCCCATGAAGATGTTCTGGTCACCACCACTGGCCCCCCAAAATAAGGTTTGAGGTTCCACTTCCTGAGGTGGCCATGTGCTCCTGGCCCAGCTCTCCCTGTTGGAGAGCGAAGCACCCTGAAACCCTTTCAGTGGTCCTGGGCAGCTACTCACCAATTGTGGCCGAGATGGCCAGGTAGGAGACAGTGGTCCAGAAAATGGCCATGAGCGTTCCCTTGGGGATGGCTACAGCAGGGTCCTGGGGGGAGGGGGAGGGAGGGAGGGCATCAGGCAGCCTCTGGGCCTCCTTCCAGGCCCTGCCTTTGTCCGAGGCCGGGGGTGGGCCAGTGACCCCCCGACCCGGCCCCCTCTCAGAGCCCCCTTCCCCAGGGCCCAGAGAGGAAGAACGCTTGCGATTGCAACCCGAAAAGCAGGATGGGACATAAGCAAGATCATGCGGCTGAGAACACATCCAGGCCCTGGGAGCCTGAGGCACGGAGAGAAGCTCCAACCAGCTCCATGCCTGGTTCCCGAGGACACTGGCCAATGCAGGCTCTGGGGGCCCTGAAGTGGGGGGCTCTGGAGTCAGCCTGGTTGCGCTCACTTCCAGGTGACTGGCTGGGTGGTGGGCATGCTCTTTTACGCCTCAGCCCCTCCAGCCTCACAGGGATGCCGGCTAAGTGACTTAATCCACACCAAGCTCCTGGACCAGGGCCTGGCTCACAGGCAGTGCTGGCTGCGAGTTAATCACCATTATGCACCAACTGGTCTGAGTGCTTCCGCAGCAATTAGTATACAGACAAGCCCCAAACTCTCTCCCCTCCGAGGAAAAACTCTCTGCTGGCATTTTCCTAACAGAAATAGCAAATCTTCACACGTGCACATCACGTGTTCCACTCTTCCAGACCCTTCCTCGTATATAACTTCCTGTAAAGTGGCCAGAGTGTCCCCACCCAGCTGGTGGGGAAACTGAGGCCAGGAAGCTGTGCAGAGGGCCCAGCTGGCTGAGCCAGGGGCGGCTCGTTCCTACCACACTGAGGTCCACAGCCTCGGGCCACTGGGGGCTGGTCCCGGGTGGAGTGACACAGGCCGGGATTTTTCCAGCAGGTTCCCTGCCAGGTGTAGACCCCAACCCCAGGGGCAGGCCACAGGACTGGGAAGCAAACTCCCAGCTTTTACTGGGCCGTCCTGCACAACTGGCCGGTAGAACCACAAATGACAGAACTGGGAGGGACCATGACATTGTCACAGGCAGGTCCAAACCAGGCTGGCAACAACCCACTTCTCTGCCTCAAACACTCGGGAGCCTGAGTTGGAACCGATGGTCGCTCCGTGATGAGCAAGCCCTGGCCCTCACCCTGGAGGACCCTGGGCCCCAGGGAAGGAGGTATAGGCAGGATCCTGCCGACACGGGGCAGATGGCCCCTGTCATGGGGCGGACTGGAGTGTGCTGGAGAACAAGGTTGGGGGAGGGAGACACTGCAGGAACCATGGAAGGCCTCATGGCGGAGGTGACGACTGGGGTGGCTCTGAAGGCCAGGGCTGGGAGGAAGGGAGCGGTAGGGCAGAGCCAAGTGGAAGCAGAGGTGCAGAGCTGGAGGGGGCCTGGGGGCTCTGGAGCTTCCAGGTCTGCTGAGGTCTCTCCTGGGGGGGCCCTGCCAGCCCTGCTCTGGGTACCAGGATGGCCCGACCAGGTCAAGCACACAGAGTCCCTGGTCCCTAGGCCAGCAGGCCGGCTCAACCTCCCATCCCACCTCTAGTGGGTTGGATGGTGGCTCCAAAAATTCGTGTTCACCCGGAACCTCAGAATATGACCTTATTTGGAAATAGGGTCTTTGCAAAATGTAATTAGTTAAGCTGAGGTCCTACCCGGTTAGGCGGGCCTTAAATCCCATGACAAGTGTTCCTGTAAGAAGAGGCAAGGACACACAGAGGGAAGGAGGCCATGGGAAGACAGCGGCAGAGACTGCAGAGACGCAGCTCCAAGCCAAGGAAGGCTAAAGACTGTCAGAGACGCCAGAAGCTGGGAGAGGAGAGGAAGGATTCTCCCCAAGAGCCTTTACAGGGAGCATGGCCCTTGACACCTTTGTTTTGTTGGACTTTGGCTTCCAGAGCCGTGCAAGAATAAATGTCTGTTGTTTTAAGCCACAGTGCTTGTGGTCGTTTGTTACAGAGGCCCTGGGACGTGGCTACTCCAGGCCTCCATCCAGCCCCTACATCTTGGCCTGAAATCTCTGCGCCTGGCTTACAAATCAGACACATCTGGATCCACATCTCAGCATCTCCCCCCAGCTGTGTGAGCTGGGACAAGCCCTTTAACCTCTCTGAGCCTCAATGATGCCCCCAACCCCAATCCGTGAGATGAGAATCACCGTAGTACACCATAAATGTGAGCAGTTAGGAGCGGGGGCTGTGTCGTGCTCAGGGACGCACCCTGGGACCACCCCAGGTGCGGCACAGACCCCACATCAGTCACTAGGAAGTCCCTTGTCTCTGAGCCTCAGCCTCCCCATCAGAAAATTAAGCTAGTAAAGGTTTCCTTGGCCATAGCACAGGGTGATGTTCACGAGATTGCTCTGTGAGAGCTAAGGGGTTGGGGAATGTCACATCCTACTTACTTATGGGTTGATTGTCTCTCTTTCTCACCAGAATGTCAGCTGCATGAGGCACGGATTTGTGTCTTTGTTCTTTGTTTACTGCTGTATCCACAAGACACTGGCACAAAGCAGATGCTCAGAAAATATTCTTGAATGATTAGTTTATGATGAATTTGAGGCCTCTTTGCTCTAGAAATTTGCCCTCCAGCCCCTCTGCTGTCTGGCCCTGGGCAACGCCCAGCCCTCTCTGAGCTTGGTTTGCTCCTCTCTGAAGTGGGGGTGACGAGCCCTCACAGCTGCACCCCCCACCCAGGATCATGTTTGGAAAGAACGAGGCCCCCTGCAGCCTCATGGGAAAAATGACCATGACCTTGACAACCAGCCCTTTGTACTTCCTTCGTGCTGGGCACTTTTCCAAGCGCTTCACATAAATCAGCACGTGGAATCCTTATTCCCTGCTCTGGGAAGCAGGAGTGGGTGCTATGAGTCCTATCTTATAGTTGGCAAAGCTGAAGCCCAGAGAGGTTTTAAGGGACTTGCGTAAAGTCTCCATGAATGGGAGCTGCTCTTCAGCAGCTGTCTGACAACTCACTGTCTTGCAGAATGGGCAGAGGGCTGGACCCAAGAGAGAAGGGCCCCTTGAGGGCTTGAGGGCATTCAGGACGGAGCAAAGGTGTACCCCTACTCCCCACCCCCCAGCTCCGGGACAGCTGCCGAGCCCTGACACCTGCACACCGTGCTGGTTGGTAACCTGAGAGGCTGGACAAAGCGTCTAGATAAATCGCTAGTCTGTAGCAGAGCTGGCAGGAGAACCGGGCTGTCTAAGCACAAGACTGACCTCTGCAGGGACCTCTGGGCAGGCAGGCAGACCAGGCCTCTGCTGGCCGCTCCCCAGAGAAGGGAGAGGAGCTGGGCAAACATGGCCACTCTGCGATTTCCAGGCCGTGCTGTGCACCACCTGGGCACCCCCAGTTAGAGCCAGGCTGGGTGGAGACTGTCTCCAAAGCATCGTTCTTCATTCACTTAAGAAAATGCATCAAGGAGCACCTTTCAGGTGGGACCAGAGGCTGGGAGGGAAGGGTTCCCAGCACCGAGCCGGGTTCTCACCGTTCACCCCACTCGCACCCCATCTATCTCCTTGATCCTGCCTCGGCAAAGACACCACCGGCCCCTTCGCTCCGGCCCCACCTCCATCCAGAAGTTCTGCTGGAGCCTCTGCTGACATCCGTCTCTCCTTCTTCCCCACTTTGTACTTCTGCTCTAAACCTCCCAGTCAATACATTTCACCATTATTCACTCAACAAATGTGTACTGAGCACGTAGTATGTGTCTGACTCTTAGCTGGGAATGGGGACATAGAGGTAGGCCTCAGTTCTCCAGATAAAGAGAACTGGAAGGGGGAAGAGACACGTAAATGGCCTGACATCATTCGGCTAGGGGAGCCAGGACTCTGACAGAGGGCTGGGAGAGATTTAAAGATGGAGGTGTTATTCGAAAGAGGAACAGAACATCTCAAGGTAAAGAAACAAGGGTCGGACATCCCAGGGAGAGAGCACAGCAGAGACAAAGACACAGAGGAGGAACAGGCAACACAGGGTAAGCCGCTGATCCTCGGGGCTGGGGCAGGGGACACGGGACTGACGACCGTGGGCCGGAGCCTCAAACTCTGAGCAGAGGAGATGGCCCGCATCAAGACAGTGGGGAGCCCTGGGAGGATGCCAGCCCAGTAAAGATGTGCATGAACCAGTCTGAGCTTTGGAAGGTCAAGCTGGCTCAGTCTTCCCCCTTAGGCTGAGAGTCCTGGGAACTACGGAGGAGCTCCGCCCATTTTAGGGTGGTCCTCCAGGCCTAGAACAGAGCTGGTGTCAATCAACAACCTCAGAATTGAGTGGGGTGAACGGAGTTGGTTTGGATTGGCTGCGATTGAGATGAGTTGGACTGGACTGGATTTTAGAAGCTCTGGCCCCACCGTCTCAGTGCCCAGCTCAGTGCCCAGTGGGAGATCCTGGTAGGACAGGGCCAGGAGGCAGGAGGGCAGGCATCCTGCTCACCTTGAGGTCCCCGGAGATGTTGGCACCTGCCAGGATGCCTGTGGCCGAGGGGAAGAAGATGGAGAACATTCCGAAGAAGCTGCCTTCCACGCCTCGCCAGTCGGGCACCAAGTTCTGAACAAAAATGTCCGCTGGGAAGACCAAAGCCTGAATCAGGACCACCCAGAAGGCTGGGCCCAGCCAGGCAGGCAGGAGGCTCCTCCTCTCTGGCAGCTTCCAGGCCTGGCAGTTGGGGGAACCCTCCTTCCGGTGCCCACAGAATGGGCCAGATGGGTGGGCAGACTGTACCTGTCCCCGGAGCCATGGACAGGGCCCCCAACCTGCACGTACCCCGGTAGCTGAAGAAGCCTTTGGAGGCCTTGTCCTCAGATGGGGGAATCAGCGTCCCCACCAAGTAGTTGGCAAAGGAGACCATGATGACGAGGAAGAAGAGCACCTGGGCCTGGGTGTAAAGGACCCTAGAGGTCAGATGGCCTGGCCCCGCCTGCTCAGGGAGCCCCAGCAGGACAGAACCTGCCCAGAGTCCCTCCCTCCCCCATTCATTCATTCATTCATCCGCCACCCATTATGCTGCAGGCCCCGTTCTAGGAGTTGGCAATATAGCAAGGCTCTTGTCTTGCTGATAAATATGGGACACGACTCTAGAGTAAGAACAAGGGTGTGTTGGGGGCTGTGTGGGGGCTACGTTAGCAGAGTGGTCTAAGACGGTGTCTTCAAGGGATCTAAAGGAGGTGGAGGAGCTAGCTGCAGAATGATCAGGGGCACAAGCTGGGGACAGCGAGGAAGGAGGCTGGCGGAGCTGGAGGCCAGAGTGAGGGGGAGAGAGGAGAGGCGGGGGCGGGGGGCAGGGGCCAGATCTGCCAAGTCTGCCTGCTGACGCCCCATGTTTCTTCTGCCCTCCTTCCACAGTGCTAAGCCTCTGAATTTTGGCTGGATATGGGTTCACATGAGGACACATTTCCCTGCCCTGCCTGCCCCTTAGGTGTGGCCATGAGACCAAGTTCGGGCTGATGGGATGGATGCAGAGGGATATGTGCAACTTCCGGACAGGGCCCGAAAAGGAAAAGAAAAAGGCCTTCTCCCCTCCCTGCTGATTGGACTGTGGCCGCCGTGGAGCAGGTGCATGAAGGCCATAGGATGGAGTAGGCTGGGTGCCTGAGCCCCGGGAGCCACACACACCTAGATGGTTACAGGAGAGAGGTCCCGTTCTTTAGGGTCTCTCTGTCACAGCCACAGAACAAGAAGCCCATTTAATACACCAAGAAGAGGCAGAACCAGGCCTGGAACCCAGGCCTCACGACTCCCGCTTCTCCACCTGATCACTCCCGACCTCCCCTCCTCACCTTGGCCTCCCACTCCATGCCAGCCAGGGAGATGGCCAGCAGCACGGTGACGGTGACCACGCCGATGATGCGGATGTCATTGATGGGGTCCACGATAGGTGTGCCATACTCCTGGGGAGGGGGACAGGCCAGGCTGCACGCTGCCCTCTGAACACCGCCCCCCCAGACTCCTCCAACTTGATTCACCTCAAGTATGGGTGTCCTCTCACGGCTAAACAGAAACACAACCCCCTTCCCTGGCAACAGAGCCCCTAGAGTGGCTGCCGTGCCGATCTGGACAGTTGAGCTCCAAAGGCAACACGCGGCCCTGAAGGGGACTTCTGGGAATGGTCTTTATTTGAGATCATCACGGTCACCCACAGCGGTCAGACTGTGGCCGTGGCCCCTGAGGGGTAAAATCGGGCAGAGGGGCAGGAAGGCCTGGCCTAGACGGGGTCGGGGAGAGCAAGGGAGGCTGCCCGGGCTCCCTCTGGCTTCACCTGGAGCAGGTCCCGCACGGTCTCTGCGAAGCCCACGGTATGCATGGCCACACCCACGGCGTTGGCAAAAGCAAAAATGAGGCCGATGGAGCCCCCTAGCTCTGGGCCGAGACTCCGGGAGATGAGGAAGTAGGTGCCACCTATTGGGGACAGAGCCAGGAGCCATGAAACCAGCTGGCTGGGGTGGGCTTGGGGCAGGCAGAATCTGAGGCTGGGAGAGGGTAACCATGGGAGCCCCCCCCTCCCCTGGGCCCACAGCACAGGGTAAAACTGAGGCCATCCGTGGGGGACCCAAAGCCTTCACCTGGAACCAGAGGGAGCAGCCTGGGGCATCCCCATTTTGGTGGGGATGGGGTGGGCGGGGAGTGGCTCAGAGACCCATTCCCAGGATAAAGACTGGGGGAGCAACAGGAAAGGGGAGGGCCTTGGGTGTGGGGTGGGGCCCACCTGACTTGACCTTGCCGTTGGTGGAGATGGCCGAGATGGAGAGGCCGGTGATGGAGGTCACAGTGACGGAGAGCAGGATGATGATCCAGGTCAGGACTGTGGGGGTGGGTGGGGATGTGATCACCATAAAACTCAGCGGGGGCATTTCCCAGGTGAGGAGCCATGTGAGGAACCTGAGTCAGCCGACTGGTTCAACATACCACCTAAGTCACCTCCCTTCTCTGAGCCTTGATTTTCTCATCCGAAAAATGGGTCTCTGTCTCCCTCCTGGTATATTCTGAACAGCCAGGGAGCTGATGGGCCACTATATAAAGGATCATTTGTTATGGAAGGGAAGGCACCCTCCTTTAGTAATAAAAAATAATCACCACTTGAACACCTTTGGGTGCTAAATCCTATGCTGTTTTACATGCATCATAGAAACCCCACAATAGGTCTGGGAGGTAGGGACAGCTATCACCCCCTTTTTACTGATGAGGAAACCGAGGCTCAGAGAAGTTAAGAAACCTGTCCAAGTTCACATGCATCAGGGCTAGCTTCTGAACCTTGGTGTCTGTCCAGAGCACAGGTTCTTAACCTGGACGCTGTGCGGTAGAGATTGACTCCAAGAGGTTAAGTGACCTACTGAGGGCAAAGAGAGCCAGGGAGAGTCCTCAGGCCGGATAACTCCATGTCCAGACTCCTCTGCCACACTTCCCTGACCTCTGTCACTGCAGAAGCCTGTGGTCTCTGCGGGCCAAGTTCAGGACTGAGGCCTGGGAGGAGCAGGTCTCAGGCACACCCTCCTCCTTCCCCCCAGAGATGGCACTCACCAATGCCTGCCTGGCCTGTAATCCAGGGGAGCCGTAGGTAGAGGATCACACCCCAGATATTGAGCATGCAACGGATCTGGGAAGAGAGAGGGGTTGGAGGCCATCCGGATGGGCTGATACCCCAAAGCCAAACACACAAGTCCCTGTCCCCAGTCATGGCATGGCATCGGGCATTTTGGCCTAGGGGACACCTGGCTCCTTCCTTGGCTCTGCTCACTTCACTGGGTTCCTACTCAAATGCCCCTCTAGCTCTGTGGGGCAGGGAGGGGAGGGGTACCCAGAGATTCACCTGCCCCTCCCACCCACTTTTCTGCCCTTCCACTGGGGTCTGAGGATGGGCTGCAAGCATTATCACCTGTCACCCGGCCCCAAGCCCAGGATCCTATGTCTGCCAGCCCCAACCATGGCCCCAGTGGCCAGCTGTCGGCCCAGGGCCTGGCATCTAGGAGGAGCTCAGCGAATAGCAGCTGAGCCAATGCCCAACATGCAAGGAGAAACAGCGCTCGGGTTGCTGTGACTTCAGCTTCCAAATTTACAGCAAAGCCAGAGGCTACAGCTGAGACTGAATTCCAGGGAGGTGTGGGTGCTGATGTGGTCTTTGGCCCCAGCCAAGTTCTTGGGGTTGGGCAGGAGCTTGTGGTATTTACAAGGTGGGGAGACTTCTAAGGCCCTCTGTGTGCTCCGAGACACCGAATGGGGCCATGCCAGGCTCTGGCCACCACAGCCCAGGAGGAAGATCCATACTCCATAAACGAGCTGCTAGGGTGGAGGGGAGCTCGCAGTTCAGATGGAGAAACAGAGGCACAGCCAGCAGGCATTTGGCAGAGTAAGGTCAGAACCCAGGCCTCCCTCCACTGCACCTCCCCGCTCCCCCCGCCACCCTCCCAGAGCAGGACCAAAGCCTTCTTCTAAATCTCATGCGATCCCCTCTGAAAAGTCCCACAATGCCTTCCAAAGCCAAGTTCATTTGATTTTTGTTGTTGTTTGAAGACTCACTGGTGCTCTACACTACAGGAAACCTCCCTGACAAAAACAGGCTTGTGGATTTGTGTGTTTAGTGCTGCCCCCTGGTGGCTGTGGGTGAGGACAGTTTCTTCTAATAATCCCAAGGTAGGCATTGATCCAAGCCATTCACGTCTATTAACTCATAATGCTCATCTTTTCACAGATGAAGAAACTGAGGCACAGACAGGTTAAATAACTTGTTCACTGCCACAGGACACGTGAGTATCCAGAGATCTTTCCCAGGGTGAGGTATCAACCTGGGGAGCAAATGGGGGTTGAGAAGCACAAAACCAAGGAAAACTGGAAGTCACTCTGCAGATGGGGAAACTGAGGCCCAGGCTGGGCCTTGGGTCTACCCTGGCCATTAAGACCTGAAAGTCAGCTGCACCTGGATGGAGCTCTGTCTCCCCATTTCCGTCCCCGGACATCCCATCCTCACCCTACTCACCATCACCCCCTTGACCCAGCCAAAGCGCACAGGCTCCCCAGGGTTCTTCCCACTGTTGGTGCCTGGCTCGTCTTCCACCAGCCCGTCGGTCATTTCATGGCTGGGCCGGCTGTCAAAGGCCAGGGCATGCAGGTGGCTGCCTTCCTGCTGGGAGCCCAGAGGCCACAGGTCACGCAGGCAGGCGTCATGACCATCCAGCTCCCCGTCTTCCACCCTTCAGAGTCCAGCCTCCCCTGCAACAAACCCAGCGAGCCTCCCCTCCGCTGCAGACCTTCCGCATTCCCACCTCCCTATCTCTTTCAGGTGTGTGCAGCCTCTGTTTGTGTACTTCCACTGACGGGGAGCTCATTACCTCTCTGGGAGGCCAAGATTGTTTGATTGGGTGGTCAACAACAGGACGGTAAACATTACTGCATGTGTCTGGAGCTTTACAGCTTCCATGCCTGCCTTTCATTCAGGCCTCTCAACCCACGAAGAAGACACTCGTGTGTCCCCGTGGCACAGGTGACAGGGCCAAGATTCAGAGAAATGAGGTTCCTGGGTCAAGGCCGCACGGCAGGGAAGTCACCAGTCTTTGAGCTGGTGCTTACCTTGAGGAAGGAGTGCAGATCGGCCAGCGTGGGCCGGACCTTTCGGGGCTCCCCGGGCAGGGCGCTGTTGGCATAGTGCTCATAGGCAGGCACAACGTCGACAGTGTTGTAGCCGAAGGTGCGCATGTAGAAGGTGCTGCCGTGGCTCAGGTGACTGCTGTCGTAGGCAGTGGGCGGTGGGGGCTCCTCGCCCCCCAGCAGCGTGCTGATGGTGAAGCGCCCGCTGCACAGCGCGGGGTCCCCCGGCATCTCTGACGCCGGCAGCTCTGCCATTGCGGCTCTGGGTGGCAGGGGAGGGGGCCAGGGTCAGCGGCGACATGCTGGGGGGCTTTATAGGCTGGGCCCACAGCAGGGAGGAGGCAGAGAGTTTGGTCCAAACCGCCCTCAGCTGGCGAGCAGGGTCCCCGGACAGGGTGGGAGGCGGAGCACGTGCCCACCGCTGTCCTGCCCACCATTTGATCGCTGAGATAGCAGCCCTGCCTGGGACCAGGAGGGCTGGGCTGGGCCAGCGCCAGACACAGGGCGGGAAACGGGGAAACACGCCCAGCCCTGGGTCCCCGGGAGGTTCTTCTGAGTCCGAGAGCGGAGGACATCTGCAGGACCTGAGGAAGGAGTACTTGCCAGAAAGGACACTTGGGAGCCTTATGAGGGACCCTGGAGACAGCCTAATGACCTGAGGCCCCACCCCAGGCAGGTTCAAAAACCTCTCATTTTTGTACATGGTATTTAGTTTTATTTTTTAGGTACTTAGTATTTGTGGCTAGATGAATGGTATGGCATTTAAAAAGATACACACGTATATATAAAAGGTTAGTTTTCTCTTACTTAGACCTCTGACTCCTGGTTGTGCATGTCCTTCCAAAGACGTCTCGGAGTATAGAAACCATTACGAGCAAGCACCCCCAAACCAGAGTTCAGCATGTGCCAGATGTGCTCTGTCGCCCCCCCCCCCCCCGTGGACTGATGAGTCCCTGGGGCTTGTGGCTGGTCAGTGGCCCGCAGGGTAACCGGGTACCCAGCCCGCACACTCACTGCAGCCCATTCTGGGGTGAACGCCTGATGTGCCACCAGAGGGAAGGCGAGCTTGCGCTCATGGTGCTGCCGAGTGAGTAGGGAAAAGGGACATGGAAACGGACCAGCCCAGCTGTGGAGTGAGAGCAGCAAGGGGAGAGACGCTCCTAGAGGAGGGTCAGGGTGGGGACAGCAGGGATGGGACAGACCCCTGACCAAGAGTCTTGGAGGATGAGTTGCTTCTCCGGAGGCCAGGGATGGATGGAGGCCATCGCTAGCTCCAGGCTTCTGAGCTTGCCAGCCATCCTCAGGAGGGACATGGAGGGACACATTTTCTCTCCCTCCTTGCCCCGCCTCTCAGACTTGGGCTCTCTGAGATGCCTGGAGTTCTCTGGACTCCATGACCTCCAATAGCACATCAGTCCTAGTTGACTGAGAGCTTACAGAGGGGCCTGCCTGTCCCCTCTCGCTCCGGTCCAGAGGGGCCCAGGACAGGTGTGCCCAACTGCAGGGCCAGGCAGAAGGGGGCAGGTGGAAATGCTTGGACTGTGTTGGAGTAGCAAACAGTGTTACGGAGTCACGCTCCAAGATAAGGGTGCTTGTGGAGCCCCCCACAAGCGTGGACAAGTTTTTATACCTAAGTGCATTTATCTGGGAAGGGGGACATAGATTTTGTCCAACTTGCTAGAAGGCAAGCCCACGGGAGCTGGAATCCGGGCCTATCTTGTTCACTGATAATCCCAAGCAACCGGAACAGCACAGAGTAGGTACTCAATAAACATTTGTTGAATGAATATTGAAGGGGAGCCAGAAGCAAAGAGGGCAAAGAGCAGCTGCCATAGAAACCCTTGGCTGACAATATTACCCCAAGTCAGGGCTGCAAGGGGCAGCTCCTGGGCCTTCAACCAGCTCAGCCAGACATGGAGGGGAGCCAGGGATGACAGGATTTCAATGATAAACCCAAAAGGTTATGATCACTGTGTAGCTTTTTGCAAAGTTTATAAATTCTTCATATGAGTTAATTTTTTAAAAGACTCTTCTCTGGGCTCCTCTTAATGAGCCCCAGGCTTGCCTACCTCCTTACGAGGATCTCTAGCCCCCCCTCAGAGAGGCTTCTGGAGAAGTGTGTCCACACCCCGCACACCGGCCAGTGGGCCGAAGGCTAGGAGGTGAGGACTCCAGGTCAGTTTTCCACCTTCGCTGCAGCGCCCACTCGGGCCAGGTCAGGGAGAGGCCGGCAGGTTACTCATTCCCTCGCATGGCGCCTCTGGGCAGATCTTATCATTCTCTCACCTTTCAACTGCCACTTGACTGGTAAAAGTCGCAGCGGCCCAACACCCCCTTTCACCAATCCTACACACCCTGTCCCTGGAGCAACTGTGGAAATTTCCTGATTAACATCTCAGGAGAGGACGGCACCAGAAGGGGCGGGGGCTGGTTTCCAGCAGCACTGAGGCCACAGACAGAGAGAGGGGCCACAGATTTGCCGGGTGACCTTGGGCAAGTCACTTCTTCCTACCTCCAGGAAACCCAGGCCCGGGTCAGCTCCTTTCCAGCCCCAGAGGGAGAACATTTGCTGCTTTAAGAAACCTTTCCTGCCCCCTTCATCTCTCTGGGGTGAGGTGGGAGTTAAACAGGACCGCTTGAAGGGCTTAGCAATGTAGAGCTGAAGAGACGGTCAGAATACTTTGCCCCAAAGCACAGAGCCCCAGGAAAGGGGATTCTTACACATGGATGGCATGTCATCCAATCAGAGACGCTCTTGCAGGTGGGGGACACAGTGCTGGCTCGGACACCATACCCATCTTGCAGGACTTCAGCTTCCACAAGGCTCCCCGAGCCCTGCGGGTCTGGGAGCCACGACTCAGAATCCAATGGACCCCGAACAAAACCCTGAGATTGAGTCTCAAGCTCACATCTCAGGCTTCAGTTTCCATGTGACTTCGAACAAGTCACCTGCCTGGGATGAGCCTCAGCCGCAGAATGGGATCGACAGCTGCACAGATGTCGGGTATGACCCACCTGGCCAGTGTCAGCCCCCAGCTGAGAGCCTTAGGGCTCCTTGAGTCTCCCGCTTCTCAGGGGAAGGAGAACAGAGGCAGGAAAAGGAACTAAGGACTCAGTGGTCAGGAAACTCCCTAGAAGTGAAAACCCCAGACACAGGGCTGAAATGGAGTCAGGACAGGGGGCGGGGGGCGGGGGCGTTCTACTGCAAACTCTGGATCTCAGAGCCTCCTGTCTTCATGGGCACAGAGCCACTTAAGCATTTATTGGGCTCCTTCTGTGTACCAGCACTGGAATTCACAGCCTCACCTAGCAGACAGGCCAGCAAGGTGATCGTGGCAACTGGCTGGGGGTGGGGTGAGGGGTGGGAGGGCTGCCTGGGAGAGGGAGGGGATTCTAGGGCATGGGGTCAGTGCAAGGCAAGGTGTGGTAGGGTCTGGAGCACACAATGGGGATCAGGGGAGGAGGGAAGAAAGGGGGGAAATATGAGGTGTTTCTTCATTCACACACATTTATTGAGTGCCTACTGCATACCATGCCCTGTGCTAGGCAAGGGAGGCACTATGGAGAACAAGACAAAGACCCTGCCCTCCTGGAGCTCACATTCTAGTGGGAAGACAGACAGTAAATAAACAAACAATCCTTATAATACATTTAGTGATAAGTGCTATTAAGAAAACAAAGCTTTAGGGGAGCCTGGGTGGCTCAGTCGTTAAGCATCTGCCTTCGGCTAGGGCCATGATCCCGGAGTCCTGGGATCGAGCCCCGCATCGGGCTCCCTGCTCCATGGGAGGCCTGCTTCTCCCTCTCCCACTCCCCCTGTTTGTGTTCCCTCTCTCGCTGTGTCTCTCTCTCTCTCAAAAAATAAATAAAAAATCTTAAAAAAAAAAAGAAAACAAAGCTTTAAAAAAAAAAGTTAGGAGGGGCCTTTAGGCCTCTCTGAGAATGAGGAATTTGAGCTAAGCTCCAACAATACGTGAGCAGGTATGAGTTCAGGGCTTCCAGACTGAGGGGAGAGCATATGCAAAGGCCCTGGGATCAGAGTGCAGTTGGAGCCTCAAGATAGCAAGGAGGCCGGTATGGTGGAGCAGAGGGACCAAGGAGACGGGGTTTGAGACATGAAAGGGGGAACATGGGGCCTTGGAAACTAGGGTCAGAAGTGTTTTACTCCACTATGTGGTGGTCAGATTTCTATTTGTCAAAGATCACTTTGGCTGTTGTATGGAGGATGGACTGAGGGAGGCAAGGCAAGGCAAGGCTAGTCAGGGGCTACGACAGGTGCCCTGTGGTGGTGGCTAGGCCGGGGGGAGCAGCTGTGGGTGGCGGGGTGGTGAGGGGTGTTGGGAGTCGAGGTATATTGTGAAGGCAGAGCTGACAGAACCAGCACATGGATTCGCGTTGGGCAGGCGTTTGACAGAAGAAGGGGCCGTGTGGGGGAACCGGCAACATCATTCCTGAGCGGGGAAACCTGGTAAGGCCAGGGTAAGGAGCCTGGCCTTTGTCCTGGAGTAGCGGATGCCATCTATTTCTGGAAAGCTGCGGGGGAGCAGCAGTTGTGGTGTGAGCCATGCAAGACAGAAAGAACAGGGCCAGGGAGGGCCAGGAGGGGCTATGGCAAAAGCCAGGCGGGAACAGACAACAGCCCGGCTAGGAGCCCCAGGCTCACCCCTGACTGCATCACACGGGAACCCCTAATGAATGCTGGCTCTCTGGCCCCACCCTGGAGATCCCAGGGGCCTGGGGCAGAGGACAGGGGGTGAGGGGCTGGCCTCAGTGTTTTTGGAAGGCTCCCCAGGTGATCCTGAGGGGCAGGCTGACTGAGACACAGGGAACCAAAGAGAACACTCTTTCACACACAAACTGCCCGCCTCCCCCCCGCCCCCGCCCCACCTCAGCCCATCCCCATGTCCGTGGCCGCCCGGTCCCACGAGGCTCTCCTGGAGAGGATGAGTATGATGCAACCCTGGTGTCGTGAAATAGCCGGGTAAGAGGATGCGCTGCTCGTCGGCCTGATTCACAACACCAGCTGCAGCAACATACCAGAAGTCCGCCGGCTTCCTCCTCTGGATGTGGCTCCAGCCCCGCGTAAACATCCTCCCTGTCGGATGGCCGCCCCCGGGGGCCAAGGCAGTGCCAGGGCCTAGAGCTGAGAATGAGGAAGGCAGGGTCCCTGCCCGCGGCGGGGCTCACAGACTTGATGGCAGCGGGGAAGGCGGAGTGCACACACATACCCTGTCCAGTGCCAGGGGTGGGGCTGGGGGCAGAACAACTATGGTGGGGCGG